TTTAAATACAATGAAACAACAGAAATCTAAGTATTTGGGGTCCCTGCTGACAGAGAAAGGCTTATGAAACTAATGAGGGGCAGAGTTCATAGGCAGGGCTGCTTAGGAAAGTACCATGACTACCTGAGAGAGTTACTAGATTTGAATCTGGAATGTCCCTCACAGCCCATGATTAAAGGCTTGGTCCCTATGGTGGCACTCCTGGCAAGTGGTAGGCTCTTGGAGAAGTGGGGCCTCATTCAAGGTCCTTATGTCTTTGTAGGTGTGCCCATGAAAGGAACCATGGGACTTGAGCTCCCTTGACTGCTTGCTGGCAATGAGGTCAGCAGTTCTGTTCTACCATATACTCTTGCCATGATGTGCTCAAAGCAAAAGGGGCTACTCCAACGTGGACTGGAATATCTGAAACTGTGATCCAAAACAACCCCTTTATAAGCTAGCTACCTCAGGTATTTACTTATAGTAACAAAGCTGATTAACACAAGTGGTGGGGGAAGAATGGTGAGCCACTGGAGGGACTAGTAGTGGCTGCCCTACTTACAAAGGACAGGCTCAAGAGCAGACATGTCTTCAGGTTGCCTGAGGTCACATGTGCATGGCTATAAACATCCTGTGATTGAGAACATTTTTTAGCTTTGGTATTTATGAAAATGGGAAGCAATGATTGATTATATTTTTAAAATGAAAGCCCTTATAGTATGAGCAATAATTCAGTTTTACAGATAAAAGGACCCTCTTATTGCTCAGATTTCTAAGAAGCAAAATGGTCAGCTGGTATATTATGCCTTCTTTGTCCCTTTAATAACAACAGTTTCAACAAACTGGGAAATAATGAAATATTAGGGCAAAAGGGAAATGTGTAAAAATGCAAGGACAGTCTGTTAAGATATTAGAAGAGGAGAAGTAGACAAAGCAGGCTTAAGATAAAACTTTAACAAGACACCTGCAAAATAAGGAACCAGAAGATTAATGGGATATAAGGTACTACAACTTTTCAATTTAGATCAGATCCAAGTTAAGCGAGACAACCAAGGAGAATATCACCTAAAAAAAAGTATATATTTCAGCAAAAATGCTGCTATTCTACATTAATCAGAAGTATCAAAACTTGGTCTTGAGTTTTCATTTTTTTTAATGGTGACATTTTTTTATAACACCCTACAAAATCCTCACAAGTTTGACAGAAGCATATTACCCCAATGGCAAGACTCTGAAGCTAGCATTTAATGTAAAAGCCTAATTTTGGAGAAGTTTTTAAAAAACTTTGTTGTAGTTGTAGATGGACAGAATACCATTATTTTATTTGTTCATTTATATGTGGTGCTAAGAATCAAACTCAGTGTCTCACACATTCTAGGCAAGCGCTCTGCCACTGGGCTATAGCCCCAGCCCTGAAATATCCATTGCTACTTCCTATCCTAATTCTTAATTCCAGCTGAAATGAAGTAGTATCACATACCAGAGCAAAAAGGAAAATTTAGACACTAGTTCTGAACTAGTTCGAAAAGAAGTTTACCAACCAAGAAAAATAATAAAATAAAAACCACCCAGCACTATGTTCTTTGTTCCATAAGGAAGTCTGGAAACTGCCCAAGAATTACAACCAAGTTCTTAATGAGGTAGATTTGGTAGGCATTTATATCTTCATTTGGATTGTAATCATCATATTAATTGCTTGGATGCTGTGGTTAACAAAATTGTGCAAAGTAATCAAATTGTTTAAAAGAAACATCTAAATTTTAAAATATTTAAAGAAAACTAAAAATATATGCAGTGGAAACTTGGCACTATTTCTTTGAAAGTATATTTCTGAGAGTGAGCAAAGAAGTAAAAAATGAGTATCAGAAGCCTTTATAAAGATCTGGCACAGTTAGTTGCAGCCAGCTGTACTAAAATAGGTTCTATTAAAATACATTTGCAGAGGGCTGGGGATGCAGCTCAGTAGTAGAGCACTTGCCTAACACATGCAAGGTGCCCAGAACCGGGGCAGCAATGAGACCGACTGCAGAAAGATTCCATCAGTGAGCATTCTTTTGTACCTGTCAAAATGACTGGCAGGGAAAGAATGGAGAAACTTGGTATCTAAGAGGCTACACACTGTGACTTTACCCATGACTGTTGTGGGCCTCAATTTAATCATCAAAAAATCAAGGGGGGTTGCCTCTGAAATCCCAGCTCTCATCGTTCTCATCATCTGATGCCTCTGTCATGTTACGATGCAACAAAAAAACAGCAGATGTTGGTACCATGCTCTTGTACTGCCCAGCTTCCAGAACTGTGAGCTAAGTAAATCTCTATTCTTTGTAAATTAAAAAACAAAAACAAAAAGCCTTTCATCTGTAATTTATTTATAATGATTGCTACTGGAAGTCCCATTCCCATCAACCTTAATGTCAGGGATATGGGTAAAATGGGATGCTCTTTAGAACAGCCTGGTCCTCTAAACCAAAGGCCAAAATCCTCTTCCTGAAGTCATATGACTTTTTTTAAACCTTGTCTCCTGACTAGTTCTTTATCTTGTCACCTTGTTTTATGAATGAAAACTGAACCAGAGAAAGCAAGTGAAATTGCCTGGAGTAATCTGTGAAAGTAAACTAAAGATAGGAGTAACATCCAAACTGGCTATTCATTAAATACAATGTTCCTTCCCTTAAATCACGCTGTCCATTTGTCTCTCACCCAACAGAAAACAAAACACAAAACTAGGAGACTGTGGGTTAGCGGGAGGCATCTGTTCAGGTAATAGCAGTAAGAAGCAAATATGGATGTGACAGCAAATGTTAATGTCGTAGGTCAATCATTTCAATAATTACTACCTAAGACTTAAACATTAAAGGAAGCTCTTAGGCAGAGAACAGGGAGGGGTAGAATACTTCAGATGACATTTGGAGAAAATAAATATGTTAGTAGAAAGTGAATAAGATTTTCTAGGCCAAGGAAATGCAATTCAAGGAGATGAAGTACAGAGAGAGGGTATAATTTGCCTTAGAGTTAACTGCGACTAAATGTAATGCCACAGAAGTGGGTATTAAACACATTTTCAATATGTTCTAATGACAATTCATGGAAAAGTGACGGGTTATTCCATCATAAGATGAATAAAACATCAATACGATAAGCCACTGACTCCAAAGTTGACATCTGTGACCTGTCTCAGTAATAACAAAAGTTCTAAAACAGCTCAAGTTCATTGTTGCTATTACAAAGAGCAACTGTAAGATTCAAAGGAACCACTGGAATATGAAGTTTATGACACCTTAATTATCTTCACAAGGAAACCACTCAAACATGCAGAAGTACAAATAAGAATCCTGAAAGAGTGCAGGTTAAAAGAAGATAAAGGGTATGTATGGCAAGATCGACTTCTGCTCCTATAAGCAAGAATATTTCACTGTGAAGAAGCAGTATATAAGTAATTGGCCTTCAGCAAAGAATAAATGGCTTCTGTTTCTAGCTAATGGATTTCATTTAAAATCTACTAATTGGGAGCAATGGAAGAAGAATAGGAACCAATACCAAAAGCAAATACTCAGTTCTTCTGAAGTATAGTATGATAATTTTTCCTTCTTATTTTTGTACTATGGAATTTCAGGAAGTCTTACTCATGGTAATAAGGATAAGCCTAGATCTCATAATTTTAAAATAATAAACAGGCTATAATGCACTGAACAAAAACTAATAGAAATAAATTAAGAATAAGAAATATTTTTATATTCAAAAAAAGATAAATGTAGGTATCCTGAGATTCTCAACTATAAAAAGAATATAGTAATATCAATCTGTAAGGTTATGGTAATGATTAAAAAACATACATATGCTTAATAAACGGCAGCTGCTTATTTTTACAACCAGGATGAAGAATAATCTCACTATTAAGAGCTTTAAGGGCTTGGGAGGTGGCTCAAGCGGTAGCGCGCTCGCCTGGCATGTGTGCGGCCCGGGTTTGATCCTTAGCACCACATACAAACAAAGATGTTGTATCCTCTGATAACTAAAAAATAAATATTAAAAAAAAAAGAGCTTTAAAATTGGACTAGTCACTATGTTCCTGCTTCAACTTCAGTTTGAGCACACAAATATGATTACTGTTCAATCACATAGATTTTAAATATGTCATTGACTAGATCTCCAAGAAAACCAAGTAGTATTTGGAATCAAGGTGGAGTTACAGTTAACCTAAATAGGCACTGGCTAGCAAAAACATTTTGACATGATTTTTAAGGAGCATTCGTAAGGAAAGGGCTCATTCACAGGGCATAAAAATAAGAAATAAAGAAAATCAAGGCAATTAAGAATTCTTAAAAATTAAAGGAAATTGCTGTGACATAAGCCCAAATGAAAGGAAAAAGATATTTTCAAAGGAAATGGTCTTTGCTAGATTCATGTTTATCTAATTAGAAAACAATTCAAGACTTACCACCCTTTCACCTACCAATCAATCATAGTATGCTTATTTGTAGGAGAATCTTAATTTCATCTTCTCTGTTCTGTGAAGCACCTAATTCCTTACTACTCCTAGTAGGGAATTTAGTTTAAGAGATCCATTTCCATTCTTTAAAGTCAGAGACCATTTTTTTTTTCTCTTCATTTAATTCTAGAAATCAAAGGCAATGAAAAGAAAGTTTCTTTAACCCCAGGAGCATATTTGTGGACTAGACACTTAACAGCTAAATATAGAAGGTAAAGCATAAAGAAGACTCAGTGGGGAAAGGCAGGAGGTGATGAAAAAGAAATGTTCCTGCAACTGAAAGGCTAAACATGGAGGAGAAGCAAAACTCCTGAAGGATAGTGGATGGAAATGGAATTGTATGGCTTTCCCTCTCACTAATGGAAATTCTATTTGTGACTGAGCTACTCTTAACAGAGGTTCTGCAAGCTGCCATGTGGCTTCTGAGCAGATTAATCTATTTTTCCCAAAGTGTAGAATTTGCTTTCTTTCAGATATTCTGAGTCAGGAATTGGGAAAATTTCTATTTTTCAAAAAAAAAAAAAAAAAACAGTAAGAGCTTTGAGTTTATTGCCTTTGCCCACTCTCATGATGACAACCTCAATACATTCCTTCCCAAACTAGATATTGATCTGAGTAATAAAATGAAGGAACTCTTGAATTCTCCCTATACATAAAAATATACCTAGGGGACAATGACTCATGAAACCAGTCAAATTCAGGTCCTCATACCCCACTAGTTTCTCCATCTTAGAAACACACTTAAGACTCAAAAAATAAAATTAATGCCCAAACAGCCTGTGAGGCACATAGACACGAGAAAAAAAAATTTCTATCCTGGTCAGACCAGCCATCAGATAAAATATTATAAAATCTTCAATGGGCCATCCATTTAGAAGAGGTTCCAACCCTTTAAAGTCATATTCTAACATCAGCAACATTGTCAGGAATCTTGGATCATATCCACAATGGCTTCTTTGTCAAGTAAGCAAGGAAGTTGTATCATTTTGGTTGCCTGGAAATTCATATCTGGTCCATTAAATTGCAAAGATCTTGGATCCATATTAAAGGTTGTGGATCTCCACATAAACAATATCTCTGTTACAGAGAAAGAAGGGGCTGCTGCACTTGCTAGAATGTCCCCAGCTTTGTATCAGATGCTCCAAGTTTGGTTTCAACCAGGCTTCCAGTGTGCCCAATGCCAAACTTCATGCTTTAGCAAGGGGAAAAATGGCTAGATCCAGGAACACACCAGACCTCTGAGAGCATGCTTGGTCCCCTTGTTAGCACCAATGTCTTGTCACTTAGTTCCTCACATACTAAATAACAACTTCTCTCTGAGAAGAGGACCTGGGTACTAAGAAGGAATTAAAGTGGAAATTAAAGTAGAAATTCCAAGGTCAAAGCAGCATCTGAGACCAGTACAAAAAAAGTGAAGAAATTCAATGAGCAGCAACTCTGGGGTACTCAAGTTTCTCCAGTCCTGGTCCATCCTCATGGCCCCACCTGTACCCCAATCATCGGCACCACCTCTTCAATCCACAGCAAGTCCAATGGAGCTGAGGCTCGAGTTTGTCGGTGGTGAATTCGACGGAGTCGTAGAAGGTACAGGATGATGGCCAGTAGCACCACCAAGATACAGGCAAAGAAGAGATAGTGATTATAGACAAAGGAGAGACGGAACCAGCTACCATGGGTTTGTCGGACACCTTCCTGCCGAAGATCCCTAAGGAAAGGTGGAAAAAACTGTTAGTTTCAAAGAAAAATGTTTGTTCTGATCTGAAGGTGTTACCCCATTTATTCAATCCACAGAAACATTCTAAGACAATCCAACCAAGGAACCAGAGTGTCTAGATCTTTTTTAAAAAAGTTGCTACATTTCCTTAGGAGCTAGCGTACCTAAAGAAAGCTGTTTCCTGACCATTATATTATAACCTGTGGGAAAAAAGAGATATGTAAACCAAAGTACAGTAGTCTAGTGGCCTGGCCAGAATAGAAGCCACTCTTTGGTCATTCAGATACTAGATCCACTTTTTGTTTTGTTTACCCTGTAGTGTTCTTCTGTTTGTTTTGTTTTGTTTTGTCTTTTAATGTGAATCTCCAAACTGAAAGACTTCATATACAATATGGATATCTGCCTTTTATGGACAAATGAGACCAGGCAAATGCTCAGGTAGCAATTCTGCATGACAGTCACCAGCACTTTAGTTGGAGCACAACATGTGGTTCCCACAACCCCCATGCAGCCCTCTTCCTTCAATTCTATTAACTGTCTGGTTCTTCATGGCATTGAATTTAGAGGAACAAGTACCAAAGATTAAGAATTTATCTGAAATAGTCCAAGGGAAAGAGTACCTAAAAATTGTCCGACATAAAGGCAAGGCATTGAAATGCCTGCCACAGCTTGAAGAAAATATACCTCTTAAAGACATAGCATGTCCTTTGTTCTAATTCTGAACCACAAAATATCCAATAACACACTCTCTGGAGTCATTCTTACTCATTATGGAAGCTTGCTCTGGCCAGACAGCCTCCCCACCTTCTCTAGTCACATGTTTTTCAAAGTAACTCGAGTAACATTCTGGTTCATCAGTGAGCATCTTAGAAATGGTTAGTAAGAGCTCAATCCTAAAGACTGATTTGTTGTTGGTGAACTAATAAAGCTGACTTTCTGAAATGGCAAAGATAGGAACGGACTCTAGCCCAATAATTTCCAATCTTCTTTCTGTTTCAAATGCCTGATTAGAATAAGGAAGTGGGGGGGTATGGTTTTGGGGATGTGGAAGTTGCGGGGAGGGTCACTGAAAAAATTTTTTATCCTAAGCCAACAACAAACATTGTCTCTAAGCTCAAGGTACCAGCTTGGTTGGTCTCTTTACCTGAGTGGTAAGAATCGAGTTTTATACAGAATGGCTCCCAGCGTCCACTGAACCTCTCGGTCATACACCAGCTGGGCTGTCCGCAGGTTTGAGTAATCATAGGGAAAGTGGAATCCTTCATGCAGGACTTGGTACATCCAAGCTGACTTAAAACACTGATATCTGAGTTGTGATAAAAAACATTAAACAAATAAATAAAAAGAATTCTAACGCTTTCCTTTACGATAAGCCATGTATGCCCACTGGATGTCAACAGATCTACCTCTCCCAGATTCACCTTCCTCACCTCTGGGTGAATCCAAATTTTAATTTATCTTACTACAAATGATGCTGTGGCTGGGTTTCTCTTTGTTTGTCTTCCTACCTTTCCTCCTTCCTTTCTACCTTCTTTCCTTCCTCCCTTCCTTCCCACCTTCATTTTTTCTTTCCTTTCATTCCCATCTTCAGAGAAGATGTTGAAATATCTACAAATGTAACTGTATGCTCTCTAGGATCTGCTTCAAGATAATTCAGTTGTAAGAAGCAGGTAGAGGAAGGAAGACAACATTGGCCAGGAGTTAATAACTGTTAGTAAAGAAGTGGGATGATAGGTGCATGGGAATTCATTATACTATTCTATTTTTGTTTGCATTTAGAAGTTTTGAACATTTATAAAATGGGAATACCAATGAGTCAAATTGGCACAATGCCAAGAGTTATTAAAGCTGGGTGAAAGTTACATGTTATTATTCTAATTTTCTGCATGTTTGATAGTTTCTATGATAAAATGTTTAGAATAAAAAGAACTACCCTTTTGATATCAAATCACTTGGAGAAAACTCTTTATTTTTTACTTTTACTAACTTAGCTATCAATTAATTTATTTAGCAGAACTGTGCATTAAACTGAGGGGTTCTCTACCACTGAGCTACTTCTCCATCCCTTTTTCTTTATTATGTTGAGGGGCTCACTAATTTGCTGAGGCTGGCCTTGAACTTAAAATTCTCCTGCTTTCATCATCCAAGTTGCTGGGATTATAGACATGCACCACTACACACTGACAGAACTCTATTTAGTAACCCCTGGTTGCCTTTGGCTTTGCCCTAAAACCTCAGAAAATCAAAATCTGAAATAATCAAATTCTCCTTCAACATAAAATCCAATCTACACTATTGTTTGATGGCTCTCCATTATAATCTGCCATCCATATTCTAAGGCCATATCTAAGATGAAATAAAAAATTACTTACTTGAGTCGATGCTCATCTGCATGTGAAGAAAAGAGGCCATTCTTGAACCTCTGAGTTAGTACTGACCAAGCCATGCCACAGTAATCCTGGAACAACCACAGAGAAACAGTACAGCATGAAATAGGAGGCAGACTCCCTAATGTCCCCAGGCACCATTGCTCTACTCCTGGAGTTACCTGTGAGCTACTAGCTGACCCAAGAAATGGCATATTCATTCACTGAACACTGTGCCAAACCTCTCTTTATTCCCATTGCCTCCAAGTCTAGTATAAAAACAGTTTGAGCTGGATCCTGAGCCTCTTAGGCTTCATAGAGAGTTAAGGTTAGGAGAAGGAAGAGCAACATCAAAAGCCAAAGGGAGCTTCACTCTACTCTGCAGAGTTGACATAAGGAAGGAAGACAGCTGGAGCAGAATGGTCAGAAACTTATCACTGGCCTGCTTCCACGTTGTGATTCTCACCAAAAGAATTATTTCTTTTGGTTTGTTCAGGGAACAAACATTTGCTGAATGTCTACTCTGTGTTATGTGCTATCCTAGGTGCCAAGGGATTGAGCAGTGAAAAAAAAGAATTCCTGTTCTCATGAAGCTTACCTTTTAATAGTAAGAGGAAAAAAAAAAAAAAACAAACATAAATATATACATGCATGCATACATACAGTATGTAAGATGACATAAATGCTCAGGGGACAAACAAAGCGGGAAAGGGCAGAGAGTCATATGGGAAGAGTTGTAATTTTGGAAAGGGTGGCCAGGAAATTTGGGACTATAACATCTAAGTCAGAGTAAAAAATGTCAAGGAAAAAAACAAATAACCCAATCAATAAATGGGCCAAGGAACTAACAGACATTTCTCAGAAGATGATACATAATCAATCAACAAATATATGAAAAAATGTTCAGCATCTTTAGCATTTAGAGAAATGCAAATAAATACAGAGTTACTCTAAGATTTCATCTCACTCCAGTCAGAATGGCAGCTATTAAGAATACAAACAAGAATAAGTGTTGGCGAGGATGTGGGGGAAAAGGCACACTCATGCATTGCTGGTGGGACTGTAAATTGGTACAGCCAATATGGAAAGCAGTATGAGATTCCTTGGAAAACTGGGAATGGAACCACCATTTGACCCATCTATCTAACTCCTCGGTCTATACCCAAAGAACTTAAAAACAGCATACTACAGGGACACAGCCACATCAATGTTTATAGCAGCACAATTCACAATAGCTAAATTGTGAAAGCAACCTAAATGCCCTTCAGTAGATGAATGGATAAATATGTGGTATATATACACAATGGAATATTATTCAGCATTAAAAGAGAATAAAATCATGGCATTTACAGGTAAATGGATGGAGCTGGAGAATATAATGCTAAGTGAAGTAAGCCAATCCCCAAAAAACAAATGCTGAATGTTTTCTCTGATATAAGGTTGTTGATTCATGTTGAGATTGCGGGGAGCACTGAAGGATTAGACAAACAGTAGATAGGGCAAAGGGGTGGGAGGGGAAGGGAAGGGGAATGGGAGTAGGAAAGATAAAGGAATAAGATGGACATTATTACCCTAAATACATGTATGAAGAAACGAATGGTGTGACTCTACTTTGTGTACAACCTGGGATATGAAAAATTGTGCTCTATATGTGTAATATAAATTGTAATGCATTCTGCTGTCATATATAACAAATTAGAATAAATAAATTTTTTAAATGTCAAGGAAGCAAAATCTTCCCTTTTACCTTGGGAAGGTAACTTATTGTCATTAGCAACTTGGGTAAGCAATGACTTGAGCCCTATGGTGTTCAAGAGAATAGGATTTGAAGAAGTTTTGAGATAAGAGAAAGACTTAGGTCATGGACAATCAGGGACTCTTTAGCTCTGGAAAGGGAAGGTAAAAGAGTATAGTCCCAGGGTCTAGAAAGGAAAGAGAAATACAAACCAAGTGTTCCACAATATTCCCTGGGAACTATCTTTTGGGATATAATAGCACAGATACTGCAGATATTATTATTTTGGAAGTCTTTTACCAAGACAATCCTTGAGAATTTTAAGAAAGCAGAAAGAATACAATGTACAAGAAGATGGATTCTTCTCATATATTTCTCCGACAACAGAGATAAAGCAGAGTTGTACAAAAATCAAAGATAGGATTCTACTAGTTTGGATGTAGAATGTCTCCCAAAGGTCTGTATGTTAAAGGCTTGGCCCTCAGGGTGGCACTTTTGGGAGGTGTTGGAATCTTTAAGAGGTGGGGCCGAGTGGAGGTCTTTAGATCACTGGAGGAATGTCCTTAAAGGAGACTGTGGGACCCTGGCTCCCTTCTTGCTCTCTCTGCTCCCTGGCTCATGATGCAAACAGTTCTACTCCTTCACATGTTCCTTCCATGATGTGCGATCTCACCCCAGGCTCAAAGCAAAGTGGCCAGTTGATCTTGGTCTGGAACTTAGAAAACTGAGCCAAAACAAACCTGTTCTCTTTATAAATTATCTCAGGTAGTTAGTTATAGTGAAGTTCACTAACAAAGACTCTAAACTAAGGCAGCGACCTACAGAAAGTTGGCTAAACTTTTACCTACCCACGTATCTAATGATTTAAGCCTATAAGATGCTTAAATCCTATATATGTGCATTTAAAATCTGAATAATACTTCTATCATCATTGCTTTTCACATCTTTCTAATAGTCTCTAAGTGACCCCATACCAATCTGTCCTCTTAATAATTCCAACCAAGAAAAAGAAAATGGACCTGCCCTGGATCCAGTATGACTTCATCTCCGAAAGCACATTATATCTGAGACACTCAGCAAAGGGAAAAATAAATACAATGACACTTTCTGGTCACAGGCATTAACAAGACCATTAGAAAGTTGGAAGAAAAAATCATTAGCAATCACAACAATTTTATATCTGGCTGATAAAATGTCCATGGAAACTTAAACTCAACTAATTAATTAATTAATTTTGCAGTGTTGCAGACTGAACGCAAGGCCTTCTGTATGCTAGACAAGTATTAGAAGGCTATTTAGCATAGCAGGTCCTTAACTTCTCTGAGTCTATCTTTTCCTCTAAAACAAGGGCTCATGGGGCCCCACCTAAGAATCAAATAAGTTTTCGCATACAAAGCCCTTTGCACAGTGCCTGGCACAAAGTTAGACGCCCAATGCATGGCTGCTGCCAACATGAGTCATTTTATCATTAATGATCTACCTGAGCAGCCTTGGCAAATGTTGGCCCATGGTAGCGGCCACCAATGCGCAACACATCCTCTGTACAGTAAAAAAATTCGGAGAAGCCGTAGAACTCGCTGTTGTTGAAATCAATTGGTGACTGGTAAATGCCATTCAGGGAGGCTTTGCTGGTGTTGGGGCGAGCCAGCAGCGGGCTCAGCATGGCCCCACAAGTGGCCCAGTCCCCTTTTCCTCGGATGTGTAGGACCTGGTTATTTCTTTCCACCACGTCAGTGAGTCCCACAGGCAGGCAGGGATCCAGAAATGGATTGTCAGGACTTAGGCCCGTCTTCTGGCCGAGCAGCCTGTCCACATGACAAAAACAAAGCATGAGACTGCTGAGCTCAAACACTCTAAGAAACAACACTCATCACGTACATCTCAGGACTGTTTTTCTTGCCATCCCTAGAAATAAGGATGCAGTGGACTATTACCATGCAGGAACATCATATGTAAATTTAATATAAACAAATTAAATTCAGAAAAAGAAGGAGGAAAAATATGCCAGTGATCAATTTTAGTCAAGCCTGTCATCAGCATGTCTCATTCCCAGTGTACAGAAAAACTGGAGATAGGAATCTGCTGTCCTCCATCTGGACTTCATTTCCACATGCCTCCCCAAAATACAAGGATCTTTCCATGCTGAGTGTGGTTCTCATGTTTAAAAATACAACTGCAAGGGGGCAAAGTGGGAAGGGCTGGGGGAGGGTTTCTGAGGAGAGGACCACAGCAGTGGGATCATGACAATGCCTGGCTTGGAATGAGCAGTGCTGGAACAGAACAGACAGAACACCAGCTCCGGAGAGCAACCGGCAGGTCTGGGAGCCTCTGTGTGAACAGTGGAGGGACAGGATTTGATTCCCTCCATAACCATCACATGGTTCTAGTTCTTTGGTCTATGCTTATCTAGTAACTGTATTATCAATTACTATAGAGATTAACAGGCAGAGCAGTCCAAGGATAGAAATTTCTTGGAGACCAAATAAATTTTCCCAGTGTAGTTAATTTTTCATTAGTTCCTAAACAGGCAGATGTGAAAGAATGAGTTTCCTGGAATGAAGATGCACCCACAAGTATAAAGATTGAAGGAGAGACTGGGAAGGCGGCAACATAACAGAATACTTAGGAACATATGGAATTTATTTTAAGACATGTCACCAACTGAAGTAAAACTCAGAAAATTTTTATTCAGAAGACAGAACCATTAAGTTTCACCATCCCAGGAGGCATAGGTTTCTCTAGTAGATTGGCAGCCACAACAATATATACCTTTTACTCCTCAATCTCACATGACTTAAGACACTTGACCAGAAAATAACAATGCATGAGAAGAAGAAGAGGCAGGCTGGCAAGAAGTTCTGAGGCAGCAGAGAACAGCAAACAGGAAAAAAGAACAACAAAGCGGGGGATGGGGGCACAGTGGCTACTGAAGTAGGAACAAATCAAAATGGGTATGAAACCTTCATAACAAATATTCTTGAAATGTGATAGTGCCCAGAGGAGCAATCAGCACCACAACCTAAGCAACACCTGTGTGGACCTAAGAGCACATTCAGAACAAAACACACTGCCCGATTGACTGCAGTCATCAATCATCCTGGGCACCCCAAACTCTTGCTGACTGAAAAGTAGAAAATTTAGAAAGACTTAGGAGACAATATTTTCTTCAACATAATCTAAATATAAGATAATTGGTTGTTATGGATAAATTATTACAAATGGGATACTACAGTAGTTTTTCAAGCTAGTTTTTCTAGCTACATAAATGAGTGTAAATAATTTTATGGTGGAAAATAACTCTGCTGTATGCTTTCCTTCAATATGCATAATAATAAATAATTTTTAAATACTCCAAACAATCACTTCATAATTGTTTATTATGGTCTAATTGGTTCATCTGGTACTCAAAAGTAAGAACTGGTGATCTGTCCAATGCTGGAAGAAAAACTGGCTATTTGGGGACTTACCAAGAAATCATTTTAAAAGTTAACTGTAATTATATATGCTTTTTACATTTTGTTCACACTACAAACCTGACTCTCATATGAGATGACTTACTCCACTGTAAGTCAACAATCATGTTTTGAGCACCAGCATGTAAAAAGAACTGCTGGGAGGTACATTATACTACACATCTTAAATTAGACCTTTATTAGCCTCACTTATCCCATGATACCATGTCTGGATGTAGAACACAGCAAGAAACCATAACAAGCTATTGTACCTTTTTATGAGTTCTAATAACAAAGAACACAGTGTACCCTGGAACAGGCCAGGTGGGGCTGCTGATAAAAGGTGTCTTAGTGAGAGATCTAGCTCACTGGCAGGTATGATTGGAAAGGAGAAAAAAGAAAGGATGTGAATATTCTTCCTGATATTTTTGGCCTGATGACATTGTTTTAGAAACTTGGATCTCATGTCCAGTGTACCTGTTTTTGCTAAGAGTTTCATTCAGCACAAGGTCTTCATAGCGCTGCCGGGCAAAGTTGCCTCCAAAACCCAGAAAGGTTGTGACATAAACCCTATACACATGTTCGGTGTGTTGCACATCACAGCCCAGGTTAAACTCAGCCAGCAGAATCTTGGCAGCTTCTTCCTATAATACAATGTTCAAAGAAAAAAGGGAATTTTAGTTTTCATTGCTTTCTAATTTAGACAAAGACATAAAATGATAAGACTGCACCAAAAAGTACAAATTAGAGGCCAAGTTGGAGACTAAACACCAAATTTAGAGATTAAAACACTATCTGCAGTATAGGAGGTAGAATTATTACAGTGGATGTCATTTTCTGATATGTACTTTGTATTTTCTAATTCTCCACAATGGCAATGGGCTATTTTCATAATAAGAAAAAATCCTTTAATAAAAAAGGAATTTAGAGAATCATCATGAGATTTATTCTATGGTCTTTTCTAAACTATTCAAGAAGAACTAATATTCTTTGTGACAAGTTTGGGCACTGGAAAATTTCAATCTTATTTTACCTCCAAAGAAAAAGAGTACTCTTCTTCCTCTCCCTCTCCACTCCCCCCTCTCAACCTCAAGTGCAGAGGTTAACTTAATCACATACCTCAGCAGATGGCACATTATCATGGCAAAGCCTCTCTTCTGCTTTATTTGGTCCCATTTATGCTCATATCCATTCCTATTCCTACTCCCTGTAATAGGCAACCATTCAAATGTGCTTAATGTGTAATTTTTGTTTGTGTATTATTGAAAAATGGAGATTACTGATTCTGATTGTATTTTATTGTGAAAATGCTACTACACCCAGCAATTCTGCTCCTAAATATATACTGAAGTGATCTGAAAAGTATGTCTTCATAAAAATGTGTACATAAATGTTCACAGCAGTATTACTGATAATAACCAAAAAGTGGAAGCAACTCAATGTCCACCAGCTGATGAATGGATAAACAAACCACGGCATGAGTGTACAACAGAATGTTATTCAGCCACATAAAGCAATGAAGCACTGACACATGCACAACATAGATGAACCTTGGAAACATTCTGCTAAGTAAGAAGCAGACCCAAACGGCCATAGTGTGTGATATTATTTATATGAAAGACCCAGAATAGGCAGATCCACAGGACACAGGAAGTAGACTAGTGGTTGTTGGAGATAGGGAATAGGGAGAATGGAAAATGAGTGCTAAGGAATATGGGGTTTCTTTGTGGAATCCAAAATGATGATTGAACAACTTTGTGAATGTGAGTAACTTTGTGAATTGAACTGTTATAGTTTGGATCTGAAATGTCCCCCAAAATCTCTTGTGCTTTTTCCTTCCTTTTTAAGCACTACGATCCATCTTTAAGAGCCATTATATTTCTATGCATACATCTAATTCATTGCTTGCTATACTTTATGTACTAGTATTACTTTCTAAACATGCACAAGAAAAGCCATTTGTTTAAGACTTTGTTTCAGTGCCACTTGTTACCTGTTCCTTAAATCAGAACAATGTATTCATTTTACCTATAGAATACATACTAACAAATACAGACTAAACAGTTTCTTAACCAAGTTAGTTCCCCAATCTCCAACCCTAGCAAAGAATATCTCTGTGGACTCACATTTCCAATAGTCCTATGGAAATTCTGACATGCATGTTTCTTGTATATCTCACACTCAACACACCCAGAAATAAACTCATTGGTCTTAGTACCAAATAGCTAGAAGACCAGACAGATGCTCTCACCCACACCTCTCCTGATTTTACTGTTGGTTCAGCATCGACCCTGCCCTTTCCACATGTGCCTTCTCTCAGTAGTGGAGTTCCTCAGCCTTATAGTTATTTATCTAGGACTCTCAGCATCGCTGGCCTCCTTTAGTCACACACCACCACAACCCGTCACCCAATTACACTAGTTTTTCACTCCTTGAAATCCGTCTCCTCCCTTCCATTTCTACTTATACTGCTTAGTTCAACCACTTACCACTTCGCACTTAAGGGTCCCTGACCTACATTTCTTTCTCCTACTCACACCAAAATTATTTTCCTAAAAATCAGATCAGATCAGTCAACATGGTTGCAAAACTCAGAGCTCAGATGAACCCCCAGAATTTGTTTCATGATGAAACAGGCCTATATGACTGCTCTATTCAAAAGTTTTGCTAGTTCCCCACTATCTACAGAAATAAAAACCAAGTCCCTAGGATGACACCCAAGACTCCTCATGGTATAATCCATCTTATCTTCCCATTATCACACCTGAAATCCCATGCTGCAGCAGGCTAGTCACCAATACCTGGACATTCTGGTTCTTTGCTGCCTTGTCTGCCTTTGTACATACTGTTCTATCCATGCAGATGGCTTTCCCTCAACCTCCATTATGCAAAAGCCTACTATCATGCTATACCCATCCCTCACCTTTCATATGGCCAACATGGCTCCATTCAAGCCTTGAAAATGTGGCTGACCCCGCCAGTCCCCATATGGCCACAGCTCTGTTTAAACCAGCGGGTCTCAACCAGGGGTAATTTCCACTTCACCCTCTCAAGTAGACATGTGGCAATGTTAGGAGACACTTCTGACTGTCACAACTGAAGGAGCAAGGGTTGTTACTGGCATTTGGTAGAGGCCATGAATGCTGTAAACATTCTAGGATACACAGCCACCCACAACAAAGAATTATCAGCCCTAAATGTTAATAGTGTCATGGATGAGAAGTCCTGGTTTGGCTGAGATCATTGGTTGTCTCCAATGACAAATTCAAAGTTTTAGAGGGAAGTATAACAAAGATATCCTATTTCTTACACATAATAGATGCTCAAAAAGAGAAACTGTGTTCTCTTTTCTATGATGAAACATCTCCCCAAAATACATTCTCTGCATTCTAAATTGGGTAAGGAATAAAAAAGGAAAGGAATAGAATCATTAATAAGAAGAAAGGAGACAGCATTTACTGAACAACAGACACGTATCAAATATTGTCTCTAGGATTTACATGCATTGTATTTACTCCTCAGGCAGCCTTGGAAGATGCTTAATGGTAACTGCTAAAATGTATCAAACACTTATCATAAGCTGGGCAGTTTGCTAAGTGCTTCACACATTCTTACAACTTTATGAGGGAGATACTATTTTCACGCCTTCTTATACATGAGGACACTGAGGCTCAGGGAGGTAACTTACTCAAGATAACCGAGCTAGCAAGTATCTGAACAAGTATTTGGACCCAGGCAAGTTGGCTTAAGTCCAAAGACAGTGTTCTTCATTTTCAAATATTGGCATTTCTAATTGAATTTCCATTAAATGCAAAATACCTGTTTTGGAGGAAGGACAGAGGTTGAGGTAGGAACTTCATAAGCAATTTGAAGAGAGGCTCCTCCCATATCTAGTATCCCTACAGTCCTTCTGCGTCCTACTGCTGATTCCTGGGAAGCATCAGCATCTAATTCTGAAATAATAAGAGAACAGTTACAAAAACCCAAACTTAAGTTGAAAAGGAAGAGAACCCCTCAACATAGCATTCACTTAAAAATTTTAAAGCAAACTAAAATAAATTAATCTATCAACTACATATTACAAGAGAAGAGATATTTCAAGTGACTTAAACATATTTGGACTATTTTTAACATAGTGGATTATACCCTAAAAACAAGACATAAACATCTTTAACTGCATTCTAGTAGTCCTACTGATAATAATATTATTGGTATTATTATTTGAAAACTATTAAATCCATATTATAGAATAAAGCAATATGTTACTATTTTCAGGGACAAAAATTTAGCATATGAGAAAAAAGAATACAAAGAAATTAAATACATTAAATATTTATTTTAAGTATAAAATCAAATGAAATAACCTTATAATTTTAAATATGAGTTGGAAATATCACTATGAATTCATGATTTATTTTTCTCTTTCTTAAAAAATAGGTATTTCCTACCTCTATTCACTGAAAAGTTTATAAGTAATGATTAACCAAGAGCAATAAGCACTTCTGGTATCTAAACCAAAATCTTCAAATATTATTTTCTATCTAAAAGAAACCAGATTTCCTCAAAAAATTGCCAATGCCAGATCTAGGGTAGAAAGTTTACAAAACAAGCATGGAAGGCTTGTTAGTAAGGGAAATAGTAGAGTGTTGGGATCATGTTAAAAGGATACAGGAGGTTGGGGATCTAGCTCAGGGGTACAGGCAAGTGCTGGCATAGGCAGGGTCCTAGGTTCAATCCCTGACACCAAAAAAAAAAAAAAAAAAAAAAAAAATACGGGAACCTGGGTGCAGCAGTGCACAACTGTAACTGTAATCAGTGACAATGGAAGTTGAAACAGGAGGATCACAAGTCCAAGGTCAGCCTCGGCAATTTAGCAAGACTCTCAAAATTTAAAAAAAAAAAAAAAAAATTATAAAGGGTTGGGGATGGAACTCCATGGTAGATTGACCCTGGGTTTAATCCCTAGTAACTAACACACACACACACACACACACACACACACACACACACCACACACCCCGTACAGAAGCCAACCTAAAGATGCTTTTAAAGAGAACAATGACATGACAGGCTCTCTTTCTTCATGTATTTATTTTGGTGGTGCTGGGGACTGAACCCAGGGCCTCACATGGACTTCCATCACTGACCCACCACACTTCCAGATCTGAGGTGATGGGCTCTAATGCATCAGATAAATAAGCAATGGATACAATTGGCTACAACAATCATTAGGTGAAAGGCAGATGATGAATTTCTATAACAGATCAGGCTGACAATCTCATCAGTCTGAATGAGACAAATGGTGGAAGAACCAGACATGATGAAATTCCTGATGTGATGTTGTAGGAAGCGCAGCACCATTATTGATTTTTTTTTTCTCTGATTTATTCTTAGTCTAATCAAGCTTCTGTAACTAACCACCAATAGACAGGATAGACATGGCAGGGGTGAGAAACATTTCACAAAGATGCAGTTAACCAATCCAGACGTGGAAATTAATTCCATCAAATGACCCAATTTTGTTTTGTTTTGTTTTGTTTTTAATGAATGGTTTGCAAAAAGGTGGAGGAGTGGATGGTAAGGTTAATTGTTACAGATTAAAAGAGACTACAGAAGCATATTAATCAAATGCAATATTTGACCCTTGATCGGATTCTGATTTAAGAGGTCAAATTACAAATAAACATTCTTGAGAAAATCAGTAAAATCTACCTGGGTATTAGATGGATACTGCACCCTATCAGGAATTGTTACTTCTGTTATGTTTTAAAATGGCATAGTGGATATGTGTTTTTGTTTTGTTTTGAAACTTTTTCTGTTAGACATACTGACATGTGAAGACAAAATGATATGGCTAGGGTTTGCTTTTAAAAACACAATGAGGGGGCTGGGGTTGTATCTCAGTGGTAGAGCGCTCGCCTAGCATGTGTGAGGCACTGGGTTCGATCTTCAGCACCACATAAAAATAAATAAATAAAATAAAGTAATTGTAGCCATCTACAACTAAAGAAAAAAAAATATTTTTTTAACAATGGTGAAAAGCCTTCTTTTTTTAAAAAACTTTTTTTTTTTTAGATTATTTTTTTTTTTGAGAGAGAGAATTTTAATATTTATTTTTTAGTTTTCGGCAGACACAACATCTTTGTATGTGGTGCTGAGGATCAAACCCAGGCCGCACGCATGCCAGGCGAGTGCTCTACCACTTAAGCCACATCCCCAGCCCAAGAAAAATATTTTTTAAAAAATGAGGGAGAAAATGTGTTATGTGGAGGAAGAATGGAAACAACAAACAATAAAATTTTAGTAACTACTGTCTAGGTAATGGGTCCATGGAAGTTCATTTTATCATTCACTCTCCTTTTTATGAATATTTAAAACTTTTTATATTAAAAACATTTTACAGGGGCTGTGGTTGTGGTTCGGTGGTAGAGCACTTGCTTCGAATGTATGAAGCACTGGGTTTGATCCTCAGCATCACATAAAAATAAACAAATAAAATAAAGGTATTGTATCCATCTACAACTAAAAAATTTTTTTAAACATTTTACATTAAAAAGAAATAAAAGAAGGAAAATTAGGACTGGAAAATAAAGCACCTTAAGTTTTAAAAAAGAAACACAACTGAAAATTAGTACTTACAAACAACTGACAGATTATGACTTAAAACCTTCAGCCCTTAATGAATTATGCTAAGAAGAGAATTTTACTCACCATCCTCATGGTCAAATCTTCCCAAAACAAAGTTGATTCCAATCCATGCATAAACCCCTACGTAAAAAATACAAAAACTTAATTCTCTACTGCTACATCATGTATACACCTCTCCTTAGGGCAGCTCTTTCCCCATTTTCTTAGGAAAAAAAGTAATCACAGTATTTTATTCCATATTCTCAGTGCATGAATCTTAAACCTTTTGCTTTGTGATTTCCCCCCTTTTTAAAGTATCTGTATCTTCCAAATTCCTATAATTAATAAGAATTAACTATAAAAATAAGTGTTGCAAATGTAAATCCTGGAGTTCTGAATCTGGGCAAGATGGAGTAAGCACACTTCATCCTATCTCTCCACTGGATGCAAATATACACTCTGGATGGACGATGGAGCAGCTTTTTGAGAACTCTGAAGGTAAAAGATAGTGGGTACAATGAGAAAGAGACCAGAATTTAAAGTACCCCAAACCAGTAGTGGGTCTCCCATTTTTTTTCTCCTTAGATATTGCTTGACCTGGATTCAAAAGCAGCTTGAAACATGAAAGTATGTACCAGGTGTGGACAAAAAGAACTTTAAAAAGCAGAAAAGGGGATTCCATAGGTTCAGAGAGAGTTGGGAAAATCTGTTTCTTTTTTTTTTCTTTTACTGTGTTTCCTCCTAACTCAGGCAATCCTGCAACAATAGAGGTGCACACATATGAAACAAATTCAAATTCATATTGCTTATTTTTCTCTCTGTGTCCTCCCATCACTTTGCCCTGGAAGCACATGCAATCACAGGAAGTGCTTCACAGAGTGGACAAATTAAAAGCCTGATTTTCTGACAGAGGATCATGAAAATGAGCTCCAAGGAAGCATAAAGTGTCAGGGACATCGTGAGACTAGCAAGTAAAGTTGTGTATGAAATCCTGGGCTCCCCTACAAGGTACATGTGCATGAATCTGACCCCAAACAATACACCAAAGGCTTTCAGAACTGAACCACAGGATAGGCCACTGTGCTAGACTGCTGCTGGCTGACACACATGGGACAAATCCAAATAGCAGTGTCAAAGCTCTGAATATTGAACTAATTGGGTCACAGCCCATAGAAGGTAAAAAAGAATTTGAGCTTGAACTTACCAAGTTGACTGCCTACTAAAATTAAAAAAAAAAAAAAAATGTTTTCATTAGGATTTAAACAGGACTCAGAGTCTCATAATATTCAAAATGCCCAAAATACAATAAAAAATAAGTTGGCATAAAAAGACCCAAGAGGGCTGGGGTTGTAGTTCCATGGTCGAGCGCTTTCCTCACATGCGTGAGGCGCTAGGTTCGATCCTAAGTACCACATACAAATAAGTAAATAAAATAAAGATATTGTGTCCATCTACAACTAAAAAAAAAAAATTAAAAAAAAAATCCAAGAAAGTCTCAACTCATAAGGGAAAGAAAAGTTCAAAGATGCCAACCCTGACATGACATGTGCACTGGAATTATCAGCCAAAAGCATTAAGGCAGCTAGATAAACAAGAAATATGAGTAGTCTTACAATGAAGAGAAAGACAGAATGTCTCAGAAAATAATCGAATATTAAGAAGAAAATGTAAATTTTAGGATTGTAAAATGCCAACTCTGAAATTTAAAAAGGAAAATCTTTTCCCTCCTCCTTGTTAAGAAATGAAGACAATTCATCATACTGCCCATATCTGAACAATTTTGCCCCAAAGTACAAACCAAATAACATAAGTATATAGGGTAGTATAAAAATTGCACAGTAACTTCAAATAAGGGAAAGTCTATAACAAAACAAAAGTAATTCATCCTGATCTTTCTCTGAAATTAAAATCCTCCTTTACTTTAGTCTAACAATTTGCTTTCCATCTGAATTTGGAAAACTCAATACAACTCCCAGAACTATATATGTTTTCACAAGTACAGTTAGTTAACCAAAGATTCATTTGGAATTATCATTAAATACTAATAAAGTCTAAACACAGTGCTTAGTACTAAATTAAAACCAGATATAAAGCGATGATTTTGAGAAACAGCGGTCTAAAACAGATACTGATGCAGAATATAAAATAAACTGTATAGCACAATAAGAAAATTCTTGACAGGAAGATAAAAATCAGATATATAAAGCAGTCCTAAACACCATCAGGAGAGCCTCGGCTATGAGTGGCTGAGAAGTGATGCAGCTGTACTCCTTCAGGACCGTACCTTCCTGTTTTCCAGAGATCACTTCCGCCTGAGACTGCGAAAAGAGGAAGTCAAACTCCAGTGGTAAATCTTTCACTAGGTCAGCCAAGATAGCCAACTGCTTCCTGCAAAAAAGAACAAAAATCCAAAAGTTAATCATTAATTCTCTTCTCATGAGGCTGAGGTAGGAGGATCACTTTAAGATTTCTGAGCCCAGGAGTTTGGGGTCAAGCCTGGGCAACATGAGAAGATTTCATCTCTTAAAGAAAAAAGCAAAACAATAAAATCTCTCTTCTCACACATTGCCTCAACTTGTCCTTCTACTTAGTCTTGTATGATGTCGCTGTTCACCCATCTCATCCATAGCCCTGCTTCTTTTTGGTACCTTCTTGATTTCAAAAGTTTAAACTGCATCCTAAGTTAGCCCTCACAATAAAGGCAATATAGAAATAGTAATACCTTCTCCTTATTTAACATTACATATAACATTAAATGGTGCTAAACGATGAGACTGTGGATCTCTGCCCTGGAGAGGGTGAGTATGAATAAGCTATAGGAAACTGTGGCAGTTTCATGTGGAACCAACTTAGATGCCTGCCAGTAGATGCATGAAGAAAGAAAATGTGGTATTTATACACAATGGAATATTACTCAGCAATAAAAGAGAATAAAATCCTGACATTTGCAGGTAAATGGATGGAGTTGGAGGAATACAATGCTAACTGAAGTTAGCCAATCCCAAAAAACTAAATGCTGAATGTTTTGTCTGATATAAGGAGGCTGATTCATAGTGAGGTTGGAAGGGGGAGCATGTGAAGATTAGACAAACTCTAAATAGGGCAAAGGGGAGGAAAGGGGAAGAGATGGAGCAAGTGTTGTAAAAAAGATGGTGAAATGAGATGGACATTATTTCCCTAAGTATCTGTATGAAGACACGAATAGTATGAATATACTTTGTGTACAACCAGAAATACAAAAAAGTGTGCTCTATATGTGTAATATGAATTTTAATGCATTCTGCTGTCATATATAACAAATTTGAATAAAAAATAAAATTTTAAAAAATAGATGTAATTACATTATTCCTAACTATTATGAAATATATTAAGGACCAGCCTCAGATCTGACACAATACAGAAATAAGGCTCACACTACCACCTAAGAAGTACTGTTAGTTCCATAGGTTTTTATATATTAACTTTTTAATCTCCTTTTCCGTATTTCATTGATTTTTTTTTCTTTATAAAAATCTTATCACTAGAAAACATAGATCAGGTTCAAAATACAAAGTTCATAACATTTCCAATTGGAGGATGACATTTGAAACAGTATCTATAAGGTTGTTTTTCCTCTCTTAAAAATGTTATCATTATTATAAGGCAAAGAAAAGCAAAGAAACAAAGCAGATAATAATAATGTGAATATAGGGAAACTGCTAGTGAAAAAAATGAGACCAATATCTTGGGTTTTCAAAATTATTCATTACAAAAATATTCTAGATAGTGAAGGATGCTGTGAACAATGAAGTGTGCAGAATTATACTTGAGTTAATAATCATCTAATATAATTCATTTATAATTTCTTTTAAAAGTTCACTGTTAAAATATGTTAAATTCTTTTTTTAAAATTAATTAATTAATTTTTTACATACATGACAATAATGGACTGCATTACACTCATTATTACCCAAAATATGTTAAATTCTTATAAGAAATTCACATGCGAAACAAGAGGAATTATTTGTCCCTCCCTACTAAATATGCTTCTAAACTAACCAAAAGGGAGGACTTGCTGGGTTTGGTACTGATATGAAGAATGGGCACCAACCCACACTGCTGTTTGGAATGTAAATTACCAACACCACCTTTCTAAAGAGCAATCTAAGACTATTCCAAAATTTTACATGTGCTTAACCTTTGATCCAGCTGTTATACTTTTAGAAATTCATCCCAAGAAATAAAGATAAGAATATAGCAGCATTATTTGTTTGTAGCAATGACTAACTGGAAATAGCATAATAACATAGGTATTGGTTAAATAACTTATGGCACGTCCTTACAATGTAATACTATACCAATGTTAGAAGAAATGAGATCAATATATATCTATACATATTCACATGAAAGGAAGTTCAATATATTTTGTTGAATTCTACTAGGGTACAAAATAGTACATATTATGTGATCCCATTTATATTAAAAGCAAAAAACACTCTTCCTATATTGTATAGAAATGGAACTCTCATTTTCTAAAATTCAATATTGTTTTTGCTATTTAAAAAACTTAATAGCAAAATGTTGGTAACTGTTGAAGTTGGGTGGTAGGTAAAATGGACTTATTGTACTGTTCTCTCTACTCTTATATGCATTTGAAATTTCCTATAATGTTTTTATTAAACCCTGTATTACCTTTGTAATTTTATTATGGGTATTTCTACTAGAAAATAAAAGGGAAGTAGAAAAAATTCTATTAGGTTCTTAGCAAAGAAATAAAACCAAGTGCTAATAAATTTAAAATAGTCCTCGTGATTCAACTCCACATTGAATATTACCCACAAATGCTAATAAAATAGCAAAACATTAATCATACAAAACAGGTTCTTGCAGTGATATCCATACTTGTGTCAACAACTAGCTTGACCTTACAGGCAGCAATGATCTCATTAATCCCAAGACAGATGTATGCATTATTGAGAGAAGTGATCAGAAAACAACAACAAACAAACAAAAAGACAATTTTTTTAAAAGTTCTTAAAAGAAAATAAATATTAAAATTCGGAATTTTCACACTGATAGCTAACATCACAGACAGACAGTAAAGTTAAGCTACACTGTGGGTTTTGTCTCAATGGAAACTTCTTTGACCAAGGCAATGCTGGTGCCAGGAGAAGAGGCAATTGTCTCCTTTGCTCCAGACTTACAAAAGGTGGCCAAACCACCCACTACTTTCCGCTACCTAGCCCTGCTGGCTCTGCCTTTTTGATCTCTGAGTCAGCCTTTTCTCTGGCCTTCCTCCTACTTCTTTGGTTGTAAGACCTCTGGTCATTCTCAGATTCTGTGATGTGGCATTACCATTTTGTGTCATCTAGACTCTTTTCACAGTTTCTAAATTTTTAAACAATTTTAATATTACCTGTTTCAAAAACAAACATTCTAAATTGCATGCACAGGATAATTACAGCTTCATAGGAATTACATATAGATGTACAAAGAAATTGGGACAAAATAAAATAGTTTTGACAGTAGGATTGTAAAGTTTTTGTTTGGTTTGGTTTACTTTAAAGATTTCCTTTAGTGATGTAAGGTTGTAGCTACAATATTTAAAGTTTATTTTTATTTAAAATTAAATAAAATAAGATAAATCTTTTAAAAGACCAAGATATATGGTGAAATCTACAAGGAGCCAAAAGACCTCTCATGTTGACAAACAGTTATATAAATAATCTGCTTCTCAACAGTAAATCAGACAGCAAACCTCTTATTATGAGTCTAAACAAAAGGAAATAAGTCCACCCAAAGGAGTGTTGACACATGTTATGTAACCTGGCAGGTCCAACATAAGCAGCATGAGCCTTACATGTATGCTGAGGTTTTGTTGTTGTTGTTTTTAGAAAAGAAAGGCCAAGTATAAAATTGAAATTTGTGGAAAAGGGAATCGCTATTTACAAACAGAAAATATTTAAGCTAATGATAAAAGCCTGCCGTCCATAAGACTACAAATATTCCTGGAGCCTGGGTCCTAAAGTTAAAGCTGGCAATGATGGCATTAGTATGACACCAAAAGCACAGGCAACAAAGCCAAAATAAATAAGCAAGACTATGTCAAATTAAAAAGCTTTTGCACAACAAAGTAAACAATAAACAGAATGGAAAAATACTTGCAAACTACATGTCTGGTAAGGGGTTAATCTTTATTAAAGTTCTCTTAAAACTCAATAGCAAACAAAACAAAACCAACTAATAACCTGATTTTAAAATGAGCTAAGGGCCTTATCAGACATTTCTACAAAGACAAATGAATGAATAACTGGCATAAGAAAAAATGTTCCAAGTCACTACTCAGCAGGGAAACACAATTAATACCACAATATGACAATCACTTCACACCTGTCAGGATGGCTATTATCAAAAAACAAGACAACAAGTATTGGTGAGGACATAGAGAGACTGGAACCCTCGTATACTGTTAGTGGGAATGCAAAGTGGTGCAACAGTCATGGGAAACAACATGAGGTTACTCCAAAGATGTAAGAAGTAGGGGTGCTTCATGATTCCAATTTATCACCGTCACCACCACGCCCAACTCTCAATCCAAATTAAGAATCACTATGACCCTCTCAGATACTGATCCCAAATAAGCAAATGACATGAAGATGTGAACAGCTGATCATCAACAACCAGCCTTTCATCAAAACTGAGTATAGGGTGGTTGTGCTCTATTTCTGAGCAATGAATCTTCTCATGCCACCTGTCAATTCTGCGTGTTGTATCCACATCCATCTCCAGACCAGAAACCAAAGGGCAGTGAGTGGAACTGGCCTTTCATCACCCATTTTTCTGTGTCTCTCCAGACCCAGCATCGCACCTCTCAGGGAGAAGCCTCATGCCTGCTGTGCAGAGGATGTAAAGGGGGGTCTCCTTGTGCTTCGTCACAGGCACATGAGCAGCAGCAAAGCTCAGCAGAGGACGAAGGTAGTCACTGGCATGTTCTGGAGTGTCTGCCATTGCAGAGATTCCTTAAGTAAAAAACAAACAAACAAACAAACAAAAAAAAAAACACTTTAAAAAGCAGATCACATTAGCTTCAGAAAACTGATACCCCATAAGGTTCTGCTTAAGACCCCATGTTTTTATTTATTTGAAAGGAGGGCAACGATGAATAAAATATTTCTCTTACTACCCAGACTCCCACAATAAAAGGGGGAGATTTTCTCCCCCCCCCCTTCTCTTCTCTTTCATGCCTACAATAGATAAAAGAGATCAACAAAAGATATTCTGATTAGTACCTGGCTTGATTTTTTTAACCACAGGTTGGCTATTGCGGTCTCTCATCTGTTTGATATCCAGCAAGTCATGGGGGTTCCCATTATGTCTTGGCCAGAAATAAACAAAAATCCGGGAGCCACTGCTACCACAGTCCACCACAAGTCCATAATTCAGATTTGGATCTTCAGTATCTGTAGCTTCAAGTTCCCCTACCCGAGCCAAATACCTAAACCAGGCAAAAAGAGAGAGTAGCCAGGTCCATGACAAGCATCACCATCTGTTCAAGAGTCTTCATTAATTGCCTAAATGAGCTAAGCACACAGGACTGTAAGTCCTAATGAAACAATACTGGCCATATTTACTATTGCATATTGGGCGACAGCTGGTTGACTTGCCTAGAGGCCAATAAAATTAGATAACTAATGCTACTCCCCACCCCACATGTTTAGGGCAGTTCTACAATTGGCTGGGCTAACAAATCTTTTACCAAGCACTAAAGAATTTGTAGGTCAGAATAAACTATTGAGTTTTGTTGTTAAAAGCAACTAAATTTTGGGCTGGGGATGTGGCTCAAGCGGTAGCGCGCTCGCCTGGCATGCGTGCGGCCCCGGGTTCGATCCTCAGCACCACATACAAACAAAGATGTTGTGTCCGCCGAAAACTAAAATAAAAAAAAACAAAAAAAAAAAAAAAACAACTAAATTTGGAGGTGATTTGTTGTACGCTTTAGATAACTATGTTAATCATTTCTTTTCTATTTATCTTTTGAATATATAACCACTATTTATCTTTTGAATATATAACCATCTATAAAATAAGGAGAATTAAAAGGATCTATCAGGGGCTGGGAGTGTAGCTCAGTGGTACAGTGTATGCTTAGCAAGTGTGAGACGGTGTTTGATCCCCAGCACTGCAAAAGAAGAAAAAAAAATAGTATCTATCTTCAGAACACATACCAAGCAGCTAGGCAGTGGTTTGCTGCACAGCTGCTGCTATCGTGACTGACTGGATAAATATTAGGAGAGCAAACAGCAGAAGACTCCCTGGAGAAAAGGGCTGAAAAGTCCAGAAAGAAAAGAAGAATTGATAAAATGTTTCTGAGCATTGAGGCTTTGATTAATACTAAAATTCCCTCAGAACCTGAATGCCTGAAAAGTATAAGTATAGCTAACTCTCGTTCAAAGGCTTCAAGTGACGAAGATGACATACTGTGTGGGTACACAGATTATAATTTTGAATAAGTGTTACTATGCATTGAGCTAATAATTGTCTGAATACATCCCCTGAGTGTTAGGCTGAATATTTTTCCAAGTATTATACCTAAACTCTCTTCCTTATCTATGCCTTGCTCATCTAACATTGTCTTTGGAGTTAACTCCTAATGCCCCAAGAGCCTTATATAGATCCCTAACAAATATATTTTACAAAGCTTTAAGGGGAAAAAAAAAAAGATTCAAAATTATAAACACAAAAGGGGTCCATGCAAGTGACCGGCTTGAAGTGTAGGTATCATTAGCTTCAGTGTAAATCCACTCCTAATCAGAACATATCACATCCCTCAGATCAATCTAGCCTGTGTTTATTGGTGAGTCCACATTGCTTTTCAGACCATATAGATTCCTTGCTGTTGAAATAAAGCAAACTTAAGGGGGAAAAAAGAGCATCTAGAGATAGTTCTATAATCAAAAATAGATACTGAGCACCTATTCTATCCTATAATGCAAAATACATATTTTAAAAATGAGAATGTACATTTGTGCTTTAATATAATGCCATAAATTACTGCATAAGGCAAGGTAAGGTAGAAGTTTTATCTGGATCTAAAATAGGAGTTTCTGGAAATAAAGCAGGTGGTACAAATCTGTTACACATAAGAAAGTTTACAATCCTCAAGTTCCCATTTCACCAAGAACCTACCCAAACTAATCAAATTACTGGGCTTATCCTGGGTTCAGAATCCAATGATCATTTCACAACTCACTGCTGTCACATGAAAGCTGGTTGAAGTCTAGACTCAAGTTACAGAAATCCTGCAAGTGCTGACCACAGGATTATTCTAGATTGAAATAAAAACAGTAAAGATAATGCACCTCCATCCCAAAGTGGCTTCTTATTTCCCATCACAGTGGTCTTTTTACTTCACATGTTTCACAGGTCTTTGCTTTCCTCCTATGAAAACCACCCTCTCTGTCTCCCTATGCCAAGATTCTAGATCCTACCTCTTCCTGTTATTGAATTACTTTTCTGTAGAACATTGGTTCTCAAACTTTAGAGTATCAGGACTCCTTTATATTCTTAAAAATCATTGGACACCCAAGAGCTTTTGTGTACATCTATCTGCATTTGATATATTATAAAATAAAACATAATTTTTTAAAAACATTTGTTCATTTAGATAAAACAAAAACTTCTACATATTAACACTTCTATGTAAATAGGCTACATTTTCTAAAAAAGCATTTGCAAGATTAGAAGAGTGGTATTATTTCACAGTTTTACAAATGTATTAAAGCCTAGATTAAGAGATAATAGCTAGATTCTCATATTTGCTTCTGTATTCAATCTGCTAAAATATATTGTTTTGGTTAAGTATTTGAGAGAAAATCCAGCCTCCCATATGTTGTTGGAAAAGAGAGGAGTACTAAAAAAAAAAAAAAAGTTTAATGCTGGGGCCTTTAGGCAAGTACTCTACCATTAAGCTACACCCCAGACCAAGGAAGAGTATTTTAATAGCACTTTTGAGATCACTGGGGATATTCTTTTGTTAATATCCTATAACTCAAAACAGGTAGAGTTTCTTAAAGATTAGTTGCAGTGGGAATCTAAAACCTTATTCAAGAACTTTTCATTTGGTTTTCAATCTCTTGGTTTATTGGGGCACAGTGTCTCAAGATTGCAAGTTCAAAGCCAGCCTCAGCAACTCAATGAAATTCTGTCTCAAAATAAAAAAAAAATTTAAAATAAAAAGAACTGGAGATGGATCCCAGTGGCAAAGTGCCTCTAAGTTCAATCCTCAGTACCAGGGGGGAAAAAAATCTACTGTTTTATTTTGCACTTTGTTTTTGTTTTAAATATTTATTTAGTTGCCAATGGACATAATACCTTTATTTACTTATTTATGTGGTACTGAGGATTGAACCCATTGCCTCACACATGCTAGGCAAATGCTCTACCACTGAGCCACAAACCCAGTCCCTTAACTTGCACTTTGCGTGGCTTTTCCCCAAGCATGATTTGTAACATCATATACTGGAAAACATTAGTTCATCAAATTATGCAAATCTTCCTAATGTTGACACATAGCATTCTGTAGTATCATAAACTACATTCATTAATATAAGCACCAATCTTGCTCAAACATTTTTTTTAACTATTGGAAAGTTACCAAATTCAAAACTGCAGCCATAAGTTTTCCAAAATTCTAATTTTTCCTTGGAAATTCAAATTTTATCATTGGCAATAAATTCTGACAGTTGTTTTCATTTCGATAAAAGATTTACTTCATATATGTTCTTTCCCTCCCCTTCCCCACCTCTCTCTTTGGTACTAGGGTTTTAATTCAGGGGCAATTTACCACTGAGCTATATCCCCAGTCCTTTCTATTTTTTATATTGAGACAGGGTTTCACTAAGTTGCTGAGGTTGGCCTCAAACTTGCAATCTTCCTGCTCCAGCCCCTGAGTCACTAGGATTACAGGCATGCGTGCACCCATGCCCAATTACTTCATTTTCAAGAAAATGTCTAGGAAACCTCCAAGTCTGAGAACTTTAATTTTTCTGACATTCCTTCTTTCAAATATAAATTGTGTTCCATAATAAAAGCAACTAGGCTTAGCTCATAACCAATTGCATAAGTGATTTTCATCAAGACAACTATTGTATGCAAAACTGCTTAATACCTACTCTCATCTCATCCCAAAATATACTACATGGAACTGGATTTTTCCCATTATTATTGTATGACAATGAAGAATACAATAACTACTAGTATGATTTGGTGCCTCTACCTTGATTTTACTCACCATTGCTTTTATATCCTCAGAACAAATGCCAGTAGAAAAAGGCAAATACAATGGCAATGGTCAAGGGGTGGAAGCAACCCAAGTGTCCAGCAAAAGATGAACAGATAAATAAAATGTGGTATGAACATACAAAGGAATGTTATTCATCTTTAAAAAGGAAGGAAATCCTTTTATACACCAATGGATGAAGCTTTAGGACATTATGCCAAGGGAAATATGCTAGTCATGAAAAGATAAATACTGTACGATTCCACTTACATGATGTATCCAAAGTAGTACAATTAATAGAAACAGAAAGTAAAATGGTAGAGACAAGTGGCTGGCAGGAAGGAGAAAAGGGAAGTTGTTTAATAGTGTAAAGTTCCAGATTTGCAAGATGAAAAAGTTCTGGGAACTGTTTCACCACAATGTAAACATACTTAACTCTGCTGAACTGCACACTTACAAATGGTTAAGATGAGCAGGGCATGGTGGTAATTAAGAGGCTGAGGATGTGGTGCAGGGGTAAAGTGCCACTGCGTTCAATCCTCAATACAAAAAAAAAAAAAAAAGGTTAAGATGATAAATTGTATGTTTTTTTACCACAATAAAAAAGTAAATAAGATCTTAATATTATTATGGAAATAGTTTTGGCCTCACAAGCTCCTTGAAAGGGTCTCAAGTACCCCCAGGGGTCGATAAACACTTGGCAATTTTATTTTTCTCCTTAACATCCATCAGCTTTTCTACCTATTCCTTCCCCTTTTCCCAGTCCTAAGGCACTTCTGTTTAACAATGCTGACTCTTTTAATATCCACAACAATTTGAAAAGGCCTGTTTCTTCTGTTCAAAATGGTAGCATGTCATTATTCCCTTTTAGTAGTCAGTTTATATTGCAGTATGAGCCCCGAAGATTTCTTTCACATTTGTTAGACCCTCTCCTAGAGGTTTCTCAAGAGCAAGTACCTTATCTGCAGAATCTTGATTTTTGCCACAGTGCTCCTCACATTTCTCTGCCTAAGACTTATCAATCAATACTCATTGTGTCCTAGAGCTCACAACATGATGCTGTTGGTTTCTTGGTAACTCCTCCCTGTCTTTGTACAGCTGGTATATTCAAAATCGATTGGTCTTTTAGAACATTTCAGTGACTTTCCAAAGTATCCTGTTACACTTTCTGATTTCTGCCAAAATAAGCAACTTTATACCTCTAACTTTATACCTTT